AAAATTTTTTCTTATAGATTTGATGATGTTTGTTTAAAACTTGCTCTTCAATCAGATCCTGATTTTCGTTGGTGTCAAAGTGGATCTGAATGTGGCTCTGGACAAATTCACGTTGAAGGAAGTAAGTAGTTAAAGCTTTTTATTTATAAGTGGATTCGGAATTCAGTGGATTTTGGATCCCAAAATGGCTTACGTGGAATGGAATTTTAAATATGACGAACGAAACAAATTTTAAATAAATTTTATATTAATTTGGGGGTGAAAGTTCAAACATTAGTAGTTAACCCATAAGTTTATAGGACTATTCTGAGATATACTATGTATGATATCCGAATATAAATCAAATTTAAGCTCCCAAATCATCACGGTATAAATCAGAGATTTAGATTCTAAGGTATTTTTAAAGAATTTATTCACTATTTTTATATTTGGTACTTTGCGGTGACATACAAAATTGGAGCGTCTGAATTCACAAGAATTTTTTTTAAATACGTGCATTTTTATAGTTCTAATATTGTATTGATAGGTTCATGAAGTACCGCAATAATAAGATCATAATCGACTTGTACAGTAAAGTTTTTATGAGTATCTAACATAATAACCATCAAAGACTTTAGGAGGTTATTTTAAGATCAGAAATCAACTTGAGTTAATTATAGATTCCAAATCCACAGGAATTCCAAATCCACTTATAATATATATATATATAAACATCTAATTTTATATTTATTCTCTAAATATAATTATATTTCATTTTCAAAAAGATAAGTCGCCTAAGATGATTTGTGAAAAATGTGGAAAAGCAACTTGTTATACGCATAATGCATCTTGGCATGAAGGTATAACTTGTAATGAATATGATATTAAAAATGGTAAGACCGATATAGAATCCCAAGCTTATCTGGAAAAGAATACTAAACCTTGTCCAAAATGTGGAATTCATATTCAAAAAATTGATGGATGTGATCACATAAAATGTAAAATTGAAAGTTGTCTTATGGAATTCTGCTGGTTGTAGGTATTTCATTTACTCCTTTATTTCTTTTATAAATAAATCAATATTAGTAAAATTTATTATTGTTATTATGATTATTATTAAAAAGATGCTTAATGGATTGGGAAAAAGGAGAACATTTAAGAACTTGTCCGTTATATGAAGGTGTTGAAGTTGTTGTATCTGATACTTCTGAAGACGAAGATGAATCTTACGAAGAAAATATTTCAACGTCAGAAGAAGAGGAAGAAGAAAATACTGAATCATCTGAAGAATCGTCGCAAGATTATTTGGATAGATTTGAGGAAGAAAATGTTATTATTTCCGATGAAATAGATTCTTCTTCAGATGACCTTGTCTCTGACTCATCTGATGAAGAACAAACATCATCTGATGAAAATGATTTTCCTGAAGAATCTACATTATCTGAAGAATCTATTTCATCCGAAAAATCGACTTTATCTGAAGAATCGTCATCATCTGAAAAATCGACATCATCCAAAGAATCTACATCATCTGAAGACGATATATCTTCTGATACACCTGAAGATTCTTATGATCCTTATGACTTGTCTGATTAATTAGGTTTATCATTAGTATATATTCATATTGCATAGTTTGGTTATTTAAATTACATGAATTCATATTGCATAGTTTTATTTTTTTTAAATTACATTATATAGTTTATTACTAACTAAAGAAATACTGTATATAGTTAGTTTTAATAATTATACGTAGATATTGCATATTATAAAAATGTTTGCCATTCAATTTATTATATATTTTATGTTAATATTTTTAGGTTTTAATGTTATTAATTTTGTTTTTTTGCAAACTCGCACACATTCCCATTCTTCAATTCTTAAAAATCAAACGTTTAATTGAATTTATGAAAATACTATTAGTTTTATTCATTTCTCGTAAAAGAATTATACTGTATTTAGTTTTTCATTACATTTTAAATTTATTTAAGTGAAAGTCTAGTATGATATTATAATTATTGACAATTCTGAATAATAATTTTACATAATAAACCATTCAAAATTTAAACACCTTCGATTGATGTGACATTCCAATTAAGGTCTTCTTAAGTGTTGTCTGAGCAAATTTGCTGCTTGCGAATATCTGATATAGACCAATTATCGATTTAATGGCATATATAACATCATAACTAGTCCTTTCACGTTTAAAATAAATGGATCATCGCCATGTGATAAACAATGTTCGATGTTTTTATAACAATTTTGCCAAACATTTGATTTTAATTAAAACAAAAAAAAAAAAAAATTCGAGTCAACGAATTAAGAAAGAAAAAAAAAGCCTATCCTATTAGGAGAAAAAAAATGATTCAAATATAACACTTATTCTTCGCTAATATTTTCTGTTTTCATAACCACTTTTAAATTGCTATCATCATCACTACTTGCTTGATCATCCATACCCCCATTTTCACCAATATTTTCAGTTATCCAACTGTGTAAACATAAAAATGATCGGACAATCTCTGGATTTAATTTCCCTCGTAAATTGTAAGTAGTTGAGTTAGAAATAGAAAATGCTTGTTCGCAAGGAATGCTTGTTGACTGAATCGTAAGGTAGTCTTGTGCCATAGCGGCAAGAATCGGAAACTTTTTTCTGTGTACTTTCCACCATATCAAAGGTTCGCAATCTTCACTATTAGGTAAAGAAAGATATTGTTCTAACTCGTTGCTTGTAATAGGCTGTGTAGTTGGAAGGAATTGATTTGTAAGAGATCGAAGATGTGCACGAGCATCAACTCTATTAAACGTCGTTTGAGAATGATATGATGATAAAAGTGTTGGATCTGATGTTGATGTTATGATAGAGTTAGAATCTTCTAGAATATTTAAAGTTTCAGGTGTATAAGAAGCCATTCTAGTTCTGATAGCATTTATAACATTATCAGTTTCTGATCCTTGTTGAAAAATGGAACATTTTGTGCGCGGATCTAGTATGGATGCAATTTTAGAAGTTTCGTCAATAATTGACCAATATTCATCCAATACACGAAGTATAGAATCAGCCACTATATATCGAGTAGTATTAACCGATATTTCATGTTGTAAATGTTGTCTTAAAATCCAAAATGTAAGCAGAAAATCACCCATTGTCGGATAAACCGACGAAGAAAGTGTTAAGGTAGCCGAATAAAATGGTGATAAGACATTAAGTAATTCCTGAATAATTTTAAATAAATATTCTTGTTAATATATGACTTTTTTATGTAATTTATAAAATAAAAATTACTTACACCTAAATTTAACCAATCATTTTCATCAGGGTATGAATCAATAAATTCATCCGGATGTTGTAAAACAAGTAAGTCAGTTTGTATTTGCATTTGTTTTACTTTTTCAATCATCAAGTACGTTGAATTCCATTGAGATTCGACATCGATTTGTGGAATTGAGAATGTCAAGTTTTGATCTTCGAAAATACGACGTAAATCTTCCATCAACTGATTAGAATTTCTGACTTTGTCAATGAATTTTCGAACTTTTTCAATTGAATTATTATGAACTTGAAGTCCATATCGTGCAGCAATATTAAGGACATTAGCACCACAACGATAGTGTGAAAACCCGAGATGATCAAATTCTTTGTTTATTTCCATTCCATGATCAAAGATAAATTTTGACGGAGCATTGTTTGTTGTCAATGCTAGTATTTTTGAAGAAAGACCAAATTCTGTTAACAGATTGGTCAAAGTTTGAACAATATTTACCATATAATGAAAGTCACGAAATGGAATTATATCTAATAAGAAGCGTTTAAATGTCCAATTATCATCAATGTAGTGAACAGTAATCCCAAAATACGCGCACTGATCACTTTCCAAAGTCCACGTATCACCAGTTAAAGATATTCTACTTTTAATATTTCCTAAATCATGATGTAACTTTTCACGACGGGTTTGAAATCTTTTAATCACATGAGATTTTATATATTGTATTTTTGGCATATGATAATGAGGATCAAGTTTTTTTATCATTTCAATAAAAGATTCATCCTCAATCACAGAAAAAGGCTGAATTGTAGATACTATCCAATTAATTATGGATCTGCTTCGTTCAAAATTTTCTTGACGACTATACGGAGTTATTCTCCGATAATTAACAGTTCTAGTTTTTCGTTCAAAGTCAGTCTGGTGAGACCCTCTTTCAAATTCAGACTGATGATTCCTTCGTAAGTGAGTTTTTAAAGTTCCGGTCGAGGTTTCACCAATTCCAGCATACATTTTTTTACATATTTTACAAGTTTGAGATTCTTTTGTTCGTTCAAAAAACTCGTCCATAGGAGATTTTGAATTATTTTTTCTTCTTATAGGACCTCCACTTGATTGTTGAGATTCGACTGGAGTTGAACCTACGTCAGAAGGTTCAGGTCTGTTGAGAAGCTCTTCGTTGTTCGAGCCATTAATATTGAATGTATTATCTGGATTTTGTTCACTTTTTAAGTCAGACATCATTATTGAGAATATATGTAAAAGAAAAAGATTTGATAATTCAGATTAAATATCTATATGTACGTTGCTTCATTTAGTTATATTTGCTTAGTAACCGGTTCTAACTTATGTGACAACCCGTGCTTTTTTCATTTACTTGGGTATTGAATAACCCAGTTTCATATTTAAATCCCGTGCCTTCGGCACGGAATAGTGTAACTAGGTTATTTACTACATACCCATATAATAAATTATATAAGCTTAATCGGTTTAATCGGTTATAATTGGATAATTCCACCGATCCGAATTGATATATTAGGTAAAAATACCGTTTGAGGGGTTTGAGACCGTCTCATCAAATTTGAAGATCGTTACACAATTGATAAAGAATTTTTTTTTGTATTTTATAGTGGGTGCGGACATTTGTCAGGTCAAGGGCTACCCTCCTACGTCAATTGATTATCTACAAAAAATTGTAAAATTTTTAACCAATCAAATTAAGGCTATACAAACTGGTATTTTTGGTTCTCATAACCCGGCCGGGTCAAATCTTTGAAGAATTTTACAGCTGTTATCATTATTTCTGGGACACCTGATAATTTTTGCTTGCTACCGAATCATTCTCAGTTTCATCCGGTAAATTGCTAATCTCTCGGAAACTATGTCACTGTCTTCGGATCCTCAGTCTGAAGACAACGACATAGTTTCCGAGAGATTAGGCAATTTACCGGATGAAACTGAGAATGATTCGGGTAGCAGCAAAAATTATCAGGTGTCCCAGAAATGATTACAGCTGTAATATAATCCGGATAACGATTCGTGACTCATTGCATTGACGATAGTCATGCAAGGGTATTATCGCGAGAATGATCCGTGACCTGACCTTGGACAACTAGGCTTAGGTACCTGGCTTAGGTACCCGGCTTAGGTACCTGGCTTAGGTATCTGGCTTAGGTATCTGGCTTAGATACTGGGATTAGGTACCTTTCTTAAGTTGACAGAAGAGAATATACAGTGCTTCTTTCTTTCGCTGCTCGATTGTTATAATGAAGAGCCCCCCCCCCCTCCCAAAACAAAAAAAAAAAAAGTATTGGGAGAGCCTAGGATCGCCACACCTTCGCATGGGCATCTACCATATATATATTTTTTTTGGATCGCTGCACCTTCGCGTGGGCATCCTTATTGATTACTATACCTGCGTGGGCAGAGTTAACTGTAAAGAGTGAAATTAGAATCGCTGCACCTTTGCGTGTGAGCATTCTCTTTGACCGCTGCACCTGTGTGGGCAGAGTAAACGGTACAAGTGTGTTATTGAGATAGTTTTTTTATGTACGAACAAGTTGATAAATTATGTAAACATTTTCTCCTTTTATAAACCAGGGCTTTATAGTATACAGCACACCCCCCGAAAAATATTAATAATTAATAATAATAATAATAATAATAATGAATTGTGATTATGTTCAGAAGGATTAAGGATCGCTGCATCTTGCGTGAGTATGGTAAAATTGTAAATAAGTATTTATGTTCATGAGTTGCTGTTTTTAATTCTACCTATTAATAATATTTCATCTTTATACTCACAGACTAAATTAAAGTGGATGAAAAATGATTTGATAACTATTAGAGATTTTATGATTCTATTATACTAATTAATAAAACATACTCACGGGCTAAATTAATAATTAAACAAAAAAAAAATAAATATAAAATATTTACAAACTTAATCGCAGACTTTAATAATAAATAATTAATATTCTTTATTGCTTACTCTCTGATAAGTAAAATTGTATGAGAGACATTTAAATTGCAAAATATTATACGTAACAAAAATTAAAGTTTACTTACTTTTTGGACCATTTCTCATATTTATCGTAATTCTCTTCTAATGATAATAACAAAAGCCAACTTGAAACATTCTCAGAATTATTCATATCTACAGACTTTTATAGTGAGTGAATGCTTTAGATTTGTCCATTTTAACGCCAAATCCGTGAAGATAACAATAGCCAACATGAAACATTCCATTAGAATCTCCTTTATCCGCTGATTTTTTACACCTCGTGTTCATCCTTTTCTACTCTAATTCCTTGAAGATAATAGTTACTATTTCATCAGTATGACTCATTTCATCAGATAAAGCGGCAATCTTTGAGAATTCTTTTGAATTGCCTCCTTTATCAGATTGCAAGTAGTATTCAAATGCTTTTGGCTTATTGATTTCAACCCTAATTTCTAAATCATACAACAAGCCACATGTATAACTTTAGTTATTTCTATTTTAAGTAGTCTATTACACAGGTGATTAGACTACCTAATTAGTTTTACACTATGCTACTATATCGTAATCTACTTGTGAGTTACCTATTTAAAACTCTGTTTATTAAAGATTTCTCTTTTTAAAAAGAAACTTTACCAAATACACTTATAAAAACTAATCTCAAATATGACAAATTCTTAAGAAAATAAAAAATTTGATCAAGTTTTTATAATTATATATAAAAAAATAAATTTAACAATAAGATATTCTTATTCAACATTCTCTGTAAATATATTAAAACCAAATAAGTTATTACCTATAATAGTTTATATTCTCTATTATTAAATATTAGCAGCTATTATTCTTATTAGTTCTATTATAAATACTCACTCATTCTTTAAAATTCATAATCAATAACATATTATTCATATAAAACTTTGCTCTTTAAAAAGCTCAATTTCAAAAACAGTTTGCAATTATAAAGAATTTCTCAACTAATATTACTTTTATACTTTATTCATTTAACTTTGTACTTAGAATATCTCACACAGCTCAAAATATATACAATTTCTCACTTTGAACTTGTCTCCAATTATACTTATTATTCTAAAATAATGAATATGATCATCTTCTTCTTGGATACTACTATGCAGCTTCTTTACAAACATGCTTAATATTTTATTTAACAGATATTAGTAGGTTATCTTTTTTTTTTCTTTATTTTTTTTTCTTTTATAGTATATAACAATACTTAAAGCTTATAATTATTTACTAATTTACTATACAAACTCTCAAACAGAGCAAACACATATTAATTACAATGTGATTTATTAACCTATGATACTTTATTGTCAAATATTAGCTAACTTTGAAATTAACTTTAACTATAAATTATATAATTTTTTAAACTTTTACTTATCTGTCTTCATTCATATTAATCACCTCAATTTAATCATTTAAAAGTACTGTTTAAGAAAATACAGTATCCACTTAAGAATTGTACTTCTATTATTATTTCAATCCTGTTGTTTTTAATATAACTAAGATTGTAAGTATTGTTAATATTGTTGACCTATGAAACATTAAGAAAAACTACAAATTCTTTAATATCTTTTGATCCACCAGTCTGAATTGGATAAAACACATACTATTGGAATCAGCTTACTGAGATAGTTCTAATGAGCTAAGAATCATTAAAATTTAATCACTAAATCCTGAGATAATTAAGATCTGGCTTTTTATTATAATCTGTGTGATCTGATTGGCTGAGTGATTACTGTGTGAGATTCATTATATATACCATATCTATTACCTATAGTTTTTGAGACACTTATATTATTTATTATATATATATCATATATCATATTTATTATATATTTTATACATGTATTAGTTATATTATATATTTTATTAATAATAGTTGTAGCATATATAGCTCATATAATATATGTAACTTGTTATGTTTCTAATTTTTTGTAAAGTATAAAAGTGGCACATGTGGAACTTGATTTCATTATCAAGTTTTCATACTCTTTCACAATAAAAGTACCTTTCTGATACTTTGAAATAAATATTTATTGATATCTTCATATATCTTTAATTGTTGCCTCTTTCATAATTGCAAATTACCCTAAATCTTCTTTGTTAAGTTTTGTAAAAACACTCTAAAGACTTTGACAAAATACAGTAACAAGGATATTATATGAAGTATTCACTGTTATTAGTCTCTCTAGTTAGTTGGTCTTGTTAAAGAAGTCAAACCAACATAACAGTACTTTTTTTTCTTTTTTTTCAACTTTTTTCTTTTATTATTTTAGAATAAATAACATATTTCTTTAAAAAATCTCAATAATTACTCCTTGCCAAAGCCAAGTCTTATACTTTATACTAACTGTATCTACTTATAAACTAGTACTAAACTAGTCTAGGTATATCTTGTATTATTTCCTCTATTGAGATTACTGTGTATTTCTTGAAAATATTAGCTTTGTTATTGTTTTTTGAATAATAAAAGTTTTGTTCCATATATAGTCCAGGTGATCATTAAAGAGTTGTCATTATATTGTCTAAATATATTAGATTATGATATTATAAATTATATAAAAATAGATAGAATTATAAAAACTTTTTTATTTATTATTAACAAATTGAATAAAAGATACAAAATAAGAAAAAAATAATAAATTTCTAGCTTTTATAACTAAATTATTATATAATTCTTTTAGCTATTTATATTTTTATATTTATTAAAAAGAAATTATTTATTTTTAAAACAAATTAGCAACTTACTATAATTATTAAAAATGTGATATTTGTTTTTTTTTTTTTTTTTTTACTTAATAAATATACTATCAGTAAGATTTTTATTGGTATAGATAGTTTTGAGCAATAATTACATATATGAGAGTACAACTAGTCACACATACAACTTTAGATTATCTAATTTAAGTAGTCCACCTGAAGGTTTTATACTAGCTGCTATATCTGAAATTTATTTAAAAATTCTTTATTTAAACTCTCTAGCTATATGTTATTCTTATCCTGCTATCATTTATTACCTAAATTCACCTTACTCTATACTATTTTTATTTTCAGAAGATATTAACATAGCTAACATAAATTCACAAACTTTATGATTTGAAGCCTAGATTTATCTCAAGTACCCCTTCACTAACTTTTTAATCAATAGATACTATAGTACCCAAATATACTACACTATATCCTAATTTAGCTTATATATACTCTTATTTAATATTTGTAC